AAAAAATAATTTCTTTAAAATTAAATGTGAAGGCTCCCACGGTGATATAAGAAAATGAGATATTGTGAATTTATTTATAATTTAGGACTACGAGGCGGTAACTCAGGAGTGCCCTTTTGTTGATATTTCTCTATGGCTGCATTTGCCTTTGGCTATTTTATTTTTTCAAAATTTATAAATTCTTGTGTTTTTCGTGATGTATTATTTCACCTAATATTAAGTGTTTTGTATTTCTTGAGGTATTGTGTTGACCTCGACTTTTTCGTACGAGGCTTTGTATTTTTGGGTTATACTTGTTTTGATGATTGAGTTGTTTTTAAATAAAAGAAAAAATTCTAATATGTTTTAAATTTAATAAAAATTTTATCCAAATCAGTAGTTTATCTGATGTTTCATTTTATTTGAAATGTTATTTTCTCCACCCAAATGATTCTAAAATAAATTCATTCATTTATTGATTTCTTACTTGATTTAAAGATTATCTAACCTTATTTTATTGTAAAATAAATTGATCATGTGGATCTTATATACATTGAGGTTATTGGCATGTGAGTTGTCCGTGCAGTTGAGATATGAAATGAGGGCACGAGGTGCCGGAAAAATATGATGATTTAATTATGGGCACGAAGTGCCGTGGAGATATGAAAAATGGGCCGAGACCCGTGTTTATGAAAAACATGAAAATGGGCTGAGACCCGTATTTTTATAATTTTGAAATGAGGTGTCACATGGTGACTTTTTAATCAAAAGAATTATATTCAAAATATTTATTTGAAAGGATTTTTATTCGTAAGAATTATATGTGAAAGATAATTAATTGATGAACTTGATTTAACTGGGTGTAATTATATTTATTAATTGTTGAGAGATATTAAATGGTAATCTTATTGTCTTACTATGCATATCATTGGTTGTTTTATGTTGCCTTGTTGTGATATCACTAGTTGAGTTGTTGTTATCATTGCTAGTTATTTTTCAGTATTATTGTATACTGCTATATTGCACAGAGTATTAGACTAGTGAGTGTCTTGACTGTACCTCGTCTCTACTCCATTGAGGTTAGTCGTGATACTTACTGGGCACCGTTGTGGTGTGCTCACTCTACACTTCTGCACATTTTGTGCAGAACCAGGTATTGAAGATAACGGACTTGAGCAGAGTTAAAGTGAGATCGTAAGGATTCAAGGTAGAGCTGCTTGATCGTCGCAGTCCCTTGGAGTCCTTTCATTCCATTGTATTGTTAACTTGTAATCAAACAATATTGTATATTCGGTCCTCGTGATCATTCTATGTATACAGTTAGAGTTCGTGACTCAGTACTACCAGTCTTGGGAGGTCGTATATTGTAATTATTTCTGCTGTTAGTTTTGATTATTTATTTAATTCAAAAAAAATGGCTTCAAAAATGCAATGGAAATCGGCTTACCAAGTCTTAGAGACTAGGTGCCATCACGACTCCTGTGATGGGATCTTGGGCCGTGACAGTAACCTAGAACAGCTGCCCCCCAGCTGTAACCAGATAAATCATCTAGCTGCGCCAGATGATGTAGAAATCTCAAGCTGACTAGGTTTTCCGAAGTGTTCGGGAACAGTATACCACCAAACATCAGCAACAGCCTCGTGTGTCAGTCAATATCCTCTGGCGATGAATCATCCATAATCTACGCGTCCATCACCACCGATGCTGCCGAACGGGCGTCAGCTGCAATCGACTGGCCCCACTCAATGAAGTCGGCTTCGCTGGATGGAAACCGGTGAGTCGCTGCAACATATGAAGGTAATCCACTCCCTTATAGTCTTTATGAGCATGCGGGTAAGCTACAGGTATACCATTAACAGCCAGCCTGAAAAGAATCTCCACGTCCTCAAGCGTGATGGTTGCCTCGCCGATGTGTAGATGAAACGTGTGCGTCTCCGGTCGCCACCGCTCTATCAAAGTCGTAATCAACGCCCAGTCGAACTACAACCAGCCGATCTCTATGATCCTGTAGAAACCCGTATCCTGAAGGCATCTAACTATACGAGGATGCAGTGAGTGGTCCCTAATGAACTCCCACATATCGTCTATACGTCTGGGGCGGAATGTCTGGGACAGACATTGCCCATCCAGATGTGTGAAGACTTATGGTTGCCCTGTAGCAACAGTAGCTCTCAAGATGCAGGCCCGGGATGCACATGAAAACCTCCATGACGATGTCTGTAACATGAACAATATTAAATAAAGTATTTTTCTGTTTAATTGTTTACCATCTTTAAATATATTGCAATATATTTTATATTAATATTTAATCGATATTTTTCTACATTATTATTTAGTTTAATACATTTTCTATATTATTATTTTATATGTTAGTTTATTATATTATTTTATATGTTTGTTTATTATTTTATATGTTTGTTTCTTACTCAGCTATTTTTGGGTATAATAGAAGTAAATAATTAATTTTCATAACTATACATGATATAATTAATAAGTATTCATATAATTAATAATTATTCATTTAATTAATTTATTATTTTTTATGTTATTTTCTTACATTTGTTGACTAAAATTTGAGAGAGCTTGTGTTTGAACTATCATTTTTCAGATATTTTTGGGTTAAAAGATAATTAAATAATTAATTTCAATAACTACAAAGATAATTTCTTGTGTTAATATTTCCTATGTTAGTATTTCATTATTTCAATGATATTAATTTCTATATTAATATTTCATATGCTAGTTTCCGACATTTTTCTACTAAAGTAACACTACTCTAAATGGCCATGAACAAAGTCAACTACCAAAAGATAAAATTTATTATCAGTTTTACTACGCTAAAGGGCACTACATTACAATTTAGGGCACAACATAACACTAAAGGGCACTAAACAATAATAAAGTCACATATTAACATGCGTACAACATTAAAATTACATATAACATTAATTATTTATAAAATAATAATTTATCTTTATTACTAATTTTTTAACACATAAATAATCTAACCCGGATAAAAAATAATAAATTAATTAAATCACAAAACGATCACAAAAATACATAGACCACAGTAAAAAATAACTAATAAGCATTTTATATACATGAGTTTTATCAAAAAGTAAGTCGGATTACCTCGATTTGAAATTTTTTGAAATGTAAAAATTTGATAATTTGGGGGCCGAAACGAGCAATATACGAGATCCACTACATGACAACGCCTTGGATCCGGTGTTAGCTTCCTACAATACAGAGAAGATACACTTTTTGTGGGACGGGTGGGCTCCAATGGATTTTTTTGTTTAAAAAATGGTGTGTGTGGGGGGAGGGGGGGAGGACCGCTGGTTTGGGGGAGCGGAGATGGCCCGTTTTTTTAAGTAGGTATAGCGGATATATAGGAGACGCTATATTCTAGTGCCTCCTATGTATGCGCTATACCTCCCGCCAATTTTGAGTTCAAGCGTAGCGCTATTATTCACCGCGCTATATTTTAACGGACAAACGTGTCGTTAAGGTATAACACGGTGAATAACCGCACTATATATAAAATGGTAGTCAATTTTTTTGCCACTTATTTTTATCGTTTGAGTCCAAAAGAACCACACTTTAGTTCCGGACTCTTTTTCTGGTATATTTTTAGATAACATGCTACTCAATTATTAGGACCCGTTTGTCCAGGAAATTTTTTTCCTTTTTTCGGATTTATTTTTTTCAAAAATGTGTTTGTCCATGAAAATTTGTAAGTTTTCAAGTTTTTCTGGAAAAATTTTCTCCACTCACAAAAGTGCAATACTTTTTTAACTGAAATGCATGTCCAAACATAATTTCAAATTTCAAATATAATCTTTCAACTTAATTTCAAAAAATATTTTTTTCAGAAATTATAATTTTTATGTCCAATGCCTACTTATAGCCTGTTTGGCCAAGCTTTTTTTTGGGCAAAAAGTATTTTTTTTTTTTTTTTTTTTTGCCAAAAGCATTTTTGGCCAAAAATTGAGGTGTTTGGCCAAGCTTTTGGAAGGAAAAAAAGTGCTTTTGAGGAGAAGCAGAAGCAGTTTTTGAGAAGCAGGAAAAAATAATTTCTCTCCAAAAGTACTTTTTGAGAAGCACTTTTGAGAAAAATACACTTAGAAGCAGTTTTCAAAAGCTTGGTCAAACACTAATTACTGCTCAAAAGTGCTTTCTAAATTAATTCGCCAAATACAAACTGTTTCTCACCAAAAATACTTTTTTAAAAAGTACTTTTGAGAGAATCACTTCTCAAAATAAACCAATTTTAGAAGCTTGGCGGCTATTAATCGGAGGTAAAGTAAAATTTTAAGCAGTTGAAACTTGAAACTTATACCAAAAATTTTGTGTGGCACTGTACCAGTAATGTTGACTGTATAGCTCATTTTTTTATTTTTCTTCTTCCTTCTTTTCTGCTTCGTTCTTTTACTCTTTTTGATTTTTTTTTCTTTCCTAATTTATTTTGTAGTTTTATAGTTATGCGGTGATATATTCGCTCGTGCATGTTGTTTCATATTATTACTATTTTTTCTTAAAATATAGCAAATGAGGCAAATGTAAGGTTAAAAGATAGAATTTGAAATCTCTGCGCTGATAATGAGAAAAATATTTATTCCTTTAGGTTATTTAAAAGGTTATTATAGGTTTAATTGATTAAATAACTTGGTACTAAATAACTTGCTATATTAGATTAATATCTCTATATCAAGGGGAGCTTTGGAACAACGGTTAAGTTGTTTTGTCTATGTGTAACTTATAAGTTACGGGTTCGAGCCGTGAAATCAGTCATTGATACTTGGATCAGAATATGCTGTTTATATCACACCCCTTAGAATGCGATCTTCCCGAACCTTTCGTAAATACGAAATATTTTGTAAACCGAATTATCTTTTTATACTATCTCCCTAAGGATATATATGACTTCAATAGTAAAGGACAGTGATACTGTGTATATGTTCCATTTTGCTATAAGAGGTAAACGTGGACTTTCCTATTCCTGAACCACATATTTTGATGTAACTAGCTGTAAAGTTACCATACATAGCATCCACCCCCTTCTCTCTCTCTCTCTCTCTCTCGGTTTTAATTTTCTTTTTCGGCCTCTCTGAGTTTTAATTGGTGGAGCTTCTGATATAAGACGAATAATATCTTCAACAAGCTAAGAAGAAGAAGGAAGGAAAAGGAAATGGAACAAGGAGCATCTCTCTCGTGAAAACATAAAAAAATTCTTTTGTTTTTTGTTTTTTCAGTTCCAAGAAGAAGTGAACAGTGCCGATTCGCCAATCCAAAGCATATACTATATCGATTTGTAACTTGAGAGGTACTCTAGCACGTTCATACCCAATAATTGGTGCATTTTCATAGGTTTTCTAACTGGATCTGAACTGGGGGGTTCTTTATTTTTTTTTCTTTCCCTCTTTTAGGGTTTCTTTAATTTTACTTAGTATTACATCACTGTTCTAAATTCAGAAATATCTAGTATCTCCAGAATCCAGATTTCTCTCTCTTCTCTCTCTTTTGTGTAGTACCCTAACTTCGTATGAGTGTGTGAAATAGTGTTCTTTTTTTTGTATGATGTCGATAACTGTCATCTACAACATAATATAGGAACAATCTTCTGTCAGTCACTCAGGTATGATATAATTGTGTAAAAGTATTATTTTCAATTCTTGTTTATGTACTTGTGAGTGTACTGAAAACAGCTAGTAAAAGAAATACTACTGTGAATTTAGAATGGCAAGAAAGAAGATCAAGATAAAGAAGATTGACAACATAACAGCAAGGCAAGTGACATTTTCAAAGAGGAGAAGAGGGCTTTTCAAGAAAGCTGCTGAGCTTTCTGTACTTTGTGATGCTGATGTTGCACTCATCATTTTCTCT